ATATTGAGTAGTGGGATTGCTGGGTTGAATGGTAGTTCTATATTTATTTCTCTGTGAAATCTCCAAACTGTTTTCTATAAAGGTTGGACTAATTTACATTCCCACCAACAGTGTGTAAAGTCTTCCCTTTTCTCCACATCCTTGCCAATATCTGTTATTTTTTGACTTTTTAATAATAGTCAATCTGACTAGTCTGAAATAGAATCTCATTGTGATTTTAATCTGCATTTCTCTGACGATTAGTTATGTTGAGCACTGTTTAATATGTTTGCTGTCCTCTTGTGTGTCTTATTTTGAGAAGTGTCTGTTCATGTCCTTTGCCCACTTCTTAATTGGGTTATTTGTTTGGTTTTTGTTGATTTGTTTAAGTCCCTTACAGATTCTGGATATTAGTCTTTGTCAGATGCACAGTTTGCATTTTTTTTCTCCCATTCTGTAGGTTGTCAGTTTACTCTGTTGACTATTTTTTTTATGTGCCGAAGTTTAGTTTAATTAGGTTTCATTTGTCCATTTTTATTGTTGCATTTGCCTTTAACCTTAGTTATAAATTCTTTGCCTTGGCCAATATCTAGAAGAGTTCTTCTTAGATTTTCTTCTAGGAATTGTATAGTCTCAGGTCTTATATTTAAGTCTTCAGTCTATCTTGAGTTAATATTTGTATATGGTGAGAGGAAGGGGTCCACTTTTACTGCATATGGCTAGCCAGCTTTCTCAATGTCATTTATTGAATAGGGTATTCATTTCGCATTGTTTATTTTTGTAAACTTTACAACAATCGGTTGGTTGTAGCTGTGTGGCTTTATGTATGAGTTCTCTATTCTGTTCCATTGATCTATGTGTCTTCTTTTGTACCAATACCATGCTGTTTTGGTTACTACAGCCTTGTCATATAGTTTGAAGTCAGGTAATGTGATGCCTCTGGCTTACTAAAGTTATTTGTCAGGTCAAGGAGTCTTTTGATGAAAGCTTTAGGGTCTTTTACATATAAGATCATGTCGTCAGCAAACAGAGACTTTTACTTCCTCTTTTTCAATTTGGCTGTCTTTTCTTTCTTTCTTTTCATTGTCAGAATTTTCTGGCTAAGACTTCCAGTACCATGGTTAAATAGGAGTGGTGAGAGTAGACATCCTTGGCTGGCTGAAGTTCTGAGGAATGCTTTCAATGTTTCACCGTTCAGTATCATGTTGGCTGCAGGTTTGTCTTACAGTATGTTCCTTCATTGCCTAGTTGCTTGAGAGTTTTTATTATGAAGGGCTACTAGATTTTATGGAATACTTTTCCTGCATCCATTAAGATGATATGATTTTCGATTTTAATTTTGTTTATGTGGTGAATCACATTTATTGACTTGCAGATGTTGAACAATTCCTATAGTCTTGGGATGAAACCTACTTGATCATGATTCTTGATCAAAAAAAGAATTATCTTTTTTCTGTGCTCTTGGATTCAGTTTGCTGGTATTTTCTTGAGGATGTTTGTGTCTATATTCCTCAAGGATATTAACCTGTAGTTTTCTTTTTTTGTTGTATCCTTGCCAAATTTTGGTAACAGGGTGATACTAGTTTTGTAGAGTGAGTTAGAAAGGAATCCCTACTCCCTGATTTCCTGGAATACTTTCAGTAAGACTGCTACCAGCTCTTCTTTATATGGCTGATAGAATTCTGCTGAGAATCCATCCGATCCTCAACAATTTTTGGTTGGTAGGTTTTTCATTATTGATTTGATTTTATGAATCATTATTGGTTGCACAAGATTTCAATTTCTTCCTGATTCAATCTTGGGAGTTACATTTTCAGTTATTTATCAATTTCCTCTAGGTTTTCTAGTTTGTATACATAGAGGTGTTCGTAGTAGTCTCTGAGAATCTTTTATATTTTTGCAATATCAATTGCCATGAGACATTTGTCATTTCTGATTGTACTTATTTGATTCTTTCTCTTTTTGTCTTGGTTTATCTAACTAGCATTCTATTTATTTTGTTTAATCTTTCAAAGAACCAACTTTTTTGTTTCATTGAGTCTTCATTGAGTGTTTCATAAATTTTAAAATCAATTTAATTTAGTTCCACTCTGATCTTTTTTATTTATTTTCTTCTGCTAGCTTAGTATTTTGTTTGCTCTTGTTTTTCTAGTTCCTTGAGGTAAGGCATTCGTTTGTTAATTTAAGATATTTGTATCTTTTTGATCAGGCATTTGGCACTATGAACTGTCATCTTAACACTGCTTTTGCTGTATACAAGAGGATTTTATATGTTGTATCTCTATGTTCATTTGAAATAATTTTTTTGATTTCTACCTTAATTTACTTGATTCCCTCAAAGTCATTCAGGAGCAAGTTGTTTAGTTTCCATGTACTTGTGTGATTTCAATTTAATGTTGTTGAAGTGAACCCTATGCCATTACATAACATGTGTGTGTGTGTGTGTGTGTGTGTGTGTGTGTGTGTGTTGTTCTGTTTATTGTTGTGGGTTTAAAGCCTGTTTTATCTATTACAAGAAATGCCAACCTCTGCTCTTTTTTGTTTTTCTTTTGTGTGATGTATCTTTCTCCACCCCTTTACTTCAAACCTCTGGTGTCAGTACATGTTAGGTGCATCTCCTGAAGGCAGCAGATGGTTCGGTCTCATTTTTTAAATTTAATTTGCCAATATGTAACTTTTAAGTGGAGAATTTACATCAGTTATGCTCGATATTAATATTTATATGTTATATGTAAGGCTTTGTGTCATCATGTTTTTAGCTAGTTACTTTGCAGTGCTTATTTAATTGCTTTGTAGGATTGGTAAATTTGTACTTACATGTTCCTTTATGGTAGCAAGTATTATCCTTTTGTTTTCATGTTTAGAACTCCTTTGAGCATTTCTTGTAGGTTCAGTCTAGTGGTGACAAGCTTTTCTAGCATCTATCCTCTAGCTTGTCTGGGAAAGGCTGTTTCTCCTTCATTTATAAAGTTCAGTTTAGCAGCGTATGAACTGGTTTATAAGGTTTTTGCTGAGAAGAACCTGTATGCTGTTAGTCTGATGGAATTTCCTTTATAGATTTGACCTTCCATAACTGTCTTTAAGATCTTTTCTTTAGCATTGACCTTGGATAACTTGATGACTATGAATATGCTTTGGTGATATTCATCTTGTGTAGTATCTAGCAGGTATTCTCTAAATTTCCTATATCTGGATTTTTACCTTTGTAACCACGTTAAAAAAGAATCCTAAATTATTCTCTCAAATATGTTTTGCAAGTTTTTTTTTTTTTTTCTTCTCTCTCAGGAATGCCAATAAGTCATAGATTTGGTTGCTTTACATAATCCCATATTCCTCAAAGGCTTTGTTCTTTCAAAAAACTTTTTCTTTTGTCTGACTGTGTTAATTTGAAAGACTAGTTTTCAAGCTCTGAATTATTTCCTTCCGATTAGTCTAGTCTATTTTTGAAACTTTCTATTGTGTTTTGCAATTCTTTTAGTGAATTTTTAAATTCCACAGTTCTGTTATATATGCATATATATATATATATATATCCATACATATTTATAGCCATTTATATATATATGAAGTTATATACATATATCTCTATATATCTCTATATCTCTATATATCTCTATATATCTCCAAATTGCTGTAATAATATGTAGCCATCTCATCTCTCATATCTTGAATAAATTTTCTGGTTTTGTTGCATTGGTTTTCAACTTTCTCTTGTATCTCATTGAGTTTCTTTGCAATCCATATCTTGAATTCTTTATCTGTTACTTCAGAATTTTCATTCCTGTTAGGATCTATTGCTAGAGAGCTATTGTGATCCTTTGAAGGTGTCAAAACACTCTTTTTGTACTGCTGGAGATCTTGTACTGATGCCTTCTCATGTGAAAGAATTGTTGCTTCTTGTTTTTGAATTTGCTATCACTTGCACAAGACTTTTAAATGTTTCATTCTTTTTTTCCTTGAGGGTATGACTGTGGTGTATGTTGCATATGATCATTTGGCTTCATTTCTGGTTGCTTTCAGAGGGCCAAGGCTCTGTATGAGTTCCTTTGTTGTGGATAGAATTTCTGTGGTGGTTTACTCAAATGTTGCTTATTGTTCAAGTGCTTTTAGAAAGCATCCATGTTAAATAAGTATAACTGGGGATGTTAGTAGCAGTTTTATAACATAATCACCCATATGTAGAATGAGAAAGTTTCTGGATTTCTAGCACCTAACATTAAATTTCATCCTTTCTGAAAGTAGGCCATCTAGGAAACGGTTACTTTTGAATTCCTTGGCCTTTTATATTTTTGAATGCAAAGGAAATCTGTTAGTTGTTTGACTCTTTTTCAGTTTGCTGGAGACTTAAATTGAGCACCCAGTGCTATTTACTGATTCTCACTACTTGGAAAGAAAATTTCCAGAGAATAAAGACAGAGTAATTTCCATGAATTCTCTGGTAGTTTCTTTACAGAAAAATCATAGAAAATGGATGCAATTACTATTATATCCCCATTACTAAGTAATAATTATTGACACATGTTACTTTACATTATCCAGCAATTTCTTTTCCAGTGAGAGAATTGAGGAACTGAAAACTATCGCTTTGCCACATTACTCAGAATCACAAAACTGGCTTTAAAATGGTGTTAAAACTACACTCCAAGTTTCCTGACTCCTAAGCTTGTGTTTAGACCATTTCTTTACTAGGGTGCCTAATAGATGGACAATTGAAAAGGATCATTAATTTTTTTTTTTTCAGGACAATAGGGTGTCATTTAAATACCCAGAAAGAAACAACTTGCCCACTGTTATACTGATTCCCTGAAAGACTTCAAAAGATGAAGAGTTTACAGCCAGAGTATTCAATAGGCCTTGGGTCAGTGTAGAATCAGTTACCTTTATGTTTTAAAATAAATTTAACTTTAATTAAATTTATATATTTGTTTCTTTGTTGTCTGCTTAGAAGACCAGGCAAATCATTGTAAGTTTGTGTTCTCCACTCACTTAACCACTTATCTGTAAGAATTACCTAGCCGGGAATGCTAGCCCTTCACGCGATTGGTCTTCCTTGGTTGAGTCGCCGCCCTCGCTGCCACATCGTGGACGCCCCGAGGCAGGTGGTCAACTTCGGGTCTGGTCCCACCAAGCTGCCTCACTCAGTATTGTTAGAGATAAAAAAGGAATTATTGGACTACAAAGGAGTTGGCATTAGTGTTCTTGAAATGAATCACAGGTCATCAGATTTTGCCAAGATTATTAACAATACAGAGAATCTTGTGCGGGAATTGCTAGCCGTTCCAGACGACTGTAAGGTGATTTTTGTGCAAGGAGGTGGGTCCGGCCAGTTCGGTGCTGTCCCCTTAAAACTGATTGGCTTGAAAGCAGGAAGGTGTGCTGACTATGTGGTGACAGGAGCTTGGTCACCTAAGGGGTGCAGAAGCAGCCAAGAAGTTTGAGACTATAAATATCGTTCACCCTAAACTTGGGAGTTACACAAAAATTCCAGATCCATGCACCTGGAACCTCAATTCGGATGCTTCTTACGTGTATTACTGAGCAAATGAGACGGTGCATGGTGCGGAGTTTAACTTTATACCCTATGTCAAGGGAGCAGTGCTGGTTTGTGACATGTCCTCAAACTTCCTGTCTGAGCCAGTGGATGTTTCCAAGATTGGTGTGATTTTTGCAGGTGCTCAGAAGAATGTTGGTTTCAGCTGGGGTCACCGTGGTGAATGTCTGTGATGACCTGCTGGGGTTTGCCCTCTGAGAGTGTCCCCCAGTCTTGGAATACGAGGTACAGGCTGGAAACAGCTCCTTGTACAACACGCCTCCATGTTTCAGCATCTACGTCATGGTCTTGGTCCTAGAGAGGATTAAAAACAGTAGAGGTGCTGCAGCCATGGAGAAGCTTAGCTCCATCAAATCTCAAATGATTTATGAGATTACTGATAATTCTCAAGGATTCTACGTATGTCCAGTGGAGCCCCAAAGTAGAAGCAAGATGAATATTCCATCCCTCACTGGCAATACCAAAGGAGATGATGCTTTAGAAAAAACATTTCTTGATAAAGCTCTTGAACTCAATATGTTGTCCTTGAAAGGGCATAGGTCTGTGGGACGCATCCGGGCCTCTCTGTATAATGCTGTCACGATTGAAGATGTTCAGAAGCTGGCCGCCTTCATGAAAAATTTTTTGGAGATGCATCAGCTATGAACACATCCTAACCAGGATATATTCTGTTCTTGAACATACAAAGTTTAAAGCAACCTGGGGATGGCTACAAAAAGTTAACAAAGTCTTTTTCTCAAATGAATATGTTTATTGTAGATTCTTCTTTTTTGAAAGAACAACAGCAAAAGATCTACAGCTCTGTAAAGCTGGTGGGACCTGATGTTCACCTTAATTCTGACTTGAACTGGAAACATTTTTAAAAATCTTCTCGTTGCTTTTCTAACAAATTCTCGCTTATTTTGCCTTTGTTACTACTTTTTCTAGTTAGATTCCAAATTTGCTTGTAGACTTAATAATGCAAGTTGCAATTAATTATTTCTGGAGTCATAGGAACACACAGCATGGAGGGTAGGTGGGGCCCTCTAGGTGCTGAATCTAAACATCTGTGGGGTCTCCTGGGTTCAGCGGCTGTTGATTCAAGGTCACCATTGGCCATTGGAGGAGTAGTTTAAGAATACGGGGCAAAGGGCAAACTGTAGATCAATCATTATACTGTTATTACAAGAGAAGTGATATACTTTATGTATGTTTATATTAGCAAGGTCTGTTTTTAATACCATATACTTTATATTTCTATATATTTATATTTCTAATAATACAGTTATCACTGATACATGTAGAACTTTTAGAATTTATTAAATCCTTGACCTTCTGCATTATAGCATTCCTTTAGCAACAGTTGCACCCTGTCCCCAGTCTTCCTCTTTCTCTTTTTAAGCTCCTTTATGACAAAGATGTAGAAGTTCTTGATTAATTTTTACCGTTCTTTCCATAGGTAGAAGAGAAAGTTGATTGGTTGGTTGTTTTTCAATTATGCCATTAAACTAAACATTTCTGTTAAATTACCTTATCCTTTGTTCTCCTTACTGTTTTCTTTGTAATGTTTGATGATGAGAGTGATACTTTGCTGAAAAGTCTTTCCCCTATTGTTTATCTATTGTCAGTATTTTATGTTGAATATGTGAAGAACATAAAAGTCCTAAAACATCTAAAAAAATTACCTAGGATGGAATAAGATGGAAATGATAGCAATGAAAAATAAAGTTGCAGTTACAGTTTTGAGTTTTTCTACTTTAAATTGCATTATGTACCTACTAATGAAGACTAAGAAGTTCATTTCAATATTAAAACTGTCCCCATAAATAATGAAATAGGAACGCCTGATAGTATAGCTAATAGTATGTAAGGATATTTTTATATATTTACTTTTAAAAATCAAAATGTATATCTTAACTCAGTTTTGGTATCAAATGGCTCATTGCTGTCATTTAGATTCTTCAAGGTAAATTTTACTTGGTGCTGATAGAAATTTTATTCATGATTTGCTGATAGTAGGAAAAAAAGCTGATTTTTTTTTTCTTGCATGTGACAAAAGCAAAAAAATACAATAAAATGTCTTTGCATTTGTTAAAAGGCTGAGAAGAATTTGGAATGGTAGTATTACTAAGAATACAGTCTATAATTATCACTTGCTAGCTCCAAAATACAAATTTTTCTAAAGTTTTATTTGCAAATTATATTTCTCTGGATTCAAGAAATATGCAAGAGAATAGAAAAGAAGAAAGAGGGAGAGAAAAGAGGGAGGGAGAGAGAGTGAGAGAAAAAGAAAGAGGGAGTGAGGAGGAGGGGGAGACAATAGGGTGGAGGTAGAGGAGATGGTAACCAGGGAAAGCACAATGCCTCCTAATGCTACATTCTTCTCTGGTTAAAAGATAAGAAAGAATAAAGAAAGAATTATTATGTAGTCTTAAATAATTATTTCCAATGTGTTTTGCATATAACACATAACATGTAACTACTGTTAATTGAAGGTTCCTATCCCTTCCTCTTCCCCTCCCTCTCTCATATCACTTTCTCTTTCTCTTGATTTCTCTTTCTGTTCTTTGAATATTTCCATTTCCTTTCTTTCTAATCAAATGCAGTCTATTCACCTGAATTACAATGTCATGCTGACTTAAGTCTTTTTGCTTCTTTATCTTTCTTTATCTTTTTCTATCTTTTCACTTTATCTACAGTGAAAAAAAAATCACTGTACCATAGAAAATCCAAATTAAAGTAAGAAATTCATGAGGCATAAGTGATTCTGATTCTTTTCACCAATATGTAGTGGGCTCTTTTTAAGCTATGGAGGATCTTTTGAAGGACAGTGGAATATTTCTCTTGCAGACAGATCGATAGTAGAACTGAAATAGTAATGAGAACAGTTTACATCAGAACATGTACAATTAAATTTGGTTAAAAATGTGTAGGTTACATGGGAAATATTTCCTTCTTGTTAAAAGGTATATAGTATTTTAAGAACATGAAGTTTCTTATTACAGCATTTCATGTTTGAGAGAAGATTAAAGAATATTGATATATCCAACTTTGAGAATCTAACTTTCATTTTCTTTTGAAATTCTTCAGTATTATAACACTCTTAGGTTTATTATTTCCCTATGAAACATTTCTGAAACATCTGCTGAGTTTTAAATATTAAGAGATATTAATATTACAAGAAATGTAAGGTATATTCTTGAGGTAACATTAAGAGCTGCTTCTTATTACTAAATGTTTATAACTGTTATTATTTGTAAATATTCATTCAAATATATAAAGAGTATGTCCCTATGAATAAAATGAATACTTTCTATGTATTTCAAAATTACATTTTAAATTATTCTTATGTAGCACATTTACCAAATGTATTTCACTTATTATATGCAGAGGATACTTGAGAGTCATTTGGTGTTGTTTTTATTCAAACATGATAAGTACAGAAAATAAATGCCATTCAAACTGTTTGATCTTCCATTTTAACTTCGAGAAGAAATTGAAGTTGCTTAAAAATTTTTTTCTTGACATATTGCAGCTAAAGTTCTTCAACTTATGCCTTTAGTTTGCAAACATTGAGGGAAATTGCCCAGAAATATTCAGCTAGCTGAATAAATTAAGACCTAATGTGCTTGAAGAAAGATGTTTTGAGAGTATCCTTTTGAGGTGATGTTCTCACCAATTTACATGCAAGAGTGAATTTGTATCATTTAAACTAATTTTCAAAATGTTTGACAAAGACCAGCATTATCTTCTGCTCAGTAACCTCCTCTAAAAGTAGTCACATTGTTCGTGGAAATCAAACTGCTGAGTTTTCTTTTGCTCCTTTTAAGGGCTTTTGATCCTTATATGGATACAAGAATCTGTTTTGCATATACCGTTAGACAAAAATCATGAATATTAAGCCATTATTTTTACATTAGCAAGTTTTCCCAAGGTGGGTTTTTAACATTTTAAAGACATTTTGTTTTGTGTGTTACTCTCTTTTTGTCTAATCACCTCCAAAATTATGAACACTACAAGAATAATACATACTGAATAACAAAACAGCTTGAAATATTTATAACTAAGAAAGCAACTGTTAAATGTTCATAAACAAAGTTGTTTGGAGACTCCTTTATTAATTTTTAATTTATCTTCAGTCAATTTCTCATTACTTCCAAATTCCTGTAGGGGATTCTGTTAATTAGTCATATGTAAAATATTCATTAAAACCAGCTTTCTATTTTCTTCTTTTATTGCAAATTTACATTTCTAATCTTATAACCAAAACAAATGCCATTAGGTAGAGGAACCACATTAATTTTGATCAGCCACCTAAAATAGAAGCCCATACAGCAAAAAATATGGTAATATAAAGTAGACTAATATTGAGGTACTATATTGGTTGATCACCCTTTTGCAATAGCAGATGGATATCTAGTTCATGTTTGAAAAAAATATCAACACTACATAAAATCGAGTATATTTGATTTCTGGTAAAGCAATCTAAGATGAAGTAATAATGATTTTGTATCTGTATACTTTTGCACATTAAACAGAAACAACATATAGTTTAGTTAGGGATTCAAATTTAATCAACAGTGACAATGTTGACATTAAATTTAAATCATTGGGTAGCAAAAGTTTTACTGAGTTTCTTCAGTTGTTATTTGTTTTAAAATATTTTACTTGTCTTTCCTTACTATGCCTTATGTACTTTTGATTCTGTGCTGCAGATAGCAAAGTAGTATAGGAAACAGAACATCAATGTGAGCTTAGTATTACTAATACAACTGTTGACTTTTCTCCTAACATAGCATATCTTAGTAAAACAGTCATACAAACATCTCTAAAAGAAATATATGTCAGCAATGTGAGAAAAGTTTGCAATGCCAGGCATAGTATTTTCAGAGTGAAATTCTTGGTTTCTTTGAAAACTCTGAAGACTTCTAAGGATTTGGATACATCTTAGAAATATAAGAGTTTGGGTACACCTTAGAAGTCTAAGAGTTTGGATAGACCTTAGAATCATCCTAACATAACTCATCTCTTCTTAAAGTCTATGTCCAAATCTTAAGTCTTCAGTCATTAATCACAATATGTAAAATATAACTACCGGATTAGAAAGTTTACTAAAATGAAATAATATTATTTACTGGAAAAAGTGGGAAAAAACATATTTTTTAGGAAGGAAAATGTAATTACACTCAAACAAATAGAGCATGTTTTGTTTGCTCTTATGCAGAGTGGAAAATTTATTGCCAAATCAAAGTCCTCATGAGTGACCACACATTTACAGCATAGAAATATTTAGTAACATTAAGCGCAGGTCTCAAGGTTCTAGCTCTGTCTTCTGAGATTGAGTCAAAAAGTAGGCAAAGATTTAGGTAGCACATACTGCTTCAGTAACAAAACCAACTGAACCGATTGTTTAGAGTTATACATATCAACATTAAAAATATATTTGTTTAATAAACAGAAAACCTAACAGAAGACTGAATTTGAGGAAGACAAAACGGCAATATTGAACCAGATCTCTAAGTAATAGATGAAAATATATTCCAAGAAATAGTTAATTATAGTACCCAATGGCCAATCATTACAGTCCATGTGCCAGGTTAATTTTACCTATCAGTCAACACTCTTTTAAAATAGTTATTCTCCTAAAATCCCACCTAACCTGATTATTATCTAGCCTGCATTGATTTCTACACTTGAACACAAAAATATTGTCATTCCACAGTAATATACACATCTAAACTAATCTAACTAATCTACCAGTCTAACATTGTAATAATTTTTTAAAGGTTGACTTAACATGCCTTGCTGGCAAAGAATTTATACTTGCCCTCTACACATTAGCAGTCATGACTGCACAGTTGCATGATTTTTTAGTCTTGAAGCAGCCCAATCATCAAGTATTCCCTAACTTATATAAAGCCCTTTACCATATCTTAGAGTCTCTTCTTTATTTGAGTCTATAATTTCCCTTGATCATGTACTGTGTTTCTAGCTTGAAAATCAT